GGCATGACTGTCTGGATAGCTGGGACGATTCTGTTCTTTAGATCTTGATCGATTGTCCGCTCTTCTCCAGTGGGCGATGTCTTTGTCAGTCCAGAAGGAAAAGGCCACTGGGGTTATTTCAGGTGATCTTGGAGGCCATAGAATGGGCCCACTTCGTGCAATCTACAGATCTGGGAATTTTTGGTAGTGCATAAGTTTGCTAAAATGTGTAAGTGAAACATATTGGAAAATTATACTTTTGTTGAACCTGAACCCATCCCTCTTGGATTTTTTCTTGTGGGGCTATGTCAAGGACCTTGCTTACTCAAGAAAAGTTGACAATCTTCAAGATCTGAAGAACAGAATCGTCCCAGCTATCCAGACAGTTACGTATGACACTGCATAAGTTACGGCAAGAGCTCGAACATCGTCTGGACGTCTACAGAACCACGAATAGGGCCCATGTGGAATTGAAATGTCAGGTTTAAAATATTTGAGTTACACTTCATTTTACTGTTTTAATAATTTAATTTGAGGCATAATTTGGGGAGAAATTTATATTTAAAATGTTTCCATGCCTTTTGGGACACCATGTAGGCCTATATCCGATTCACCTATAAATCTAGGCTCTGGAGCCTACTCAGAAGAGTACCCTAGAACAGCGGTTCCCAGACTTCTTTGAATCGCGACCCACCCACTTGTTCAAAAAATTTCGTGATCCACCGGAATCCAGAACGAGGTACTTTCAAGGTAAGCATGACGTGAAGAAAACTGATCGACCTTTTCTGCAGGGCATGTTTTATCCTGAGTGGATGCGGATATAGGGATTTTTTATACTGGGAAAATGTACGCGACCCACAGTTTGGGAACCGCTGCCCTAGAAGAGTGGTTCTCAAATTCCTTTTTATTCCCATAGAAGATCCGTGTGTTCGGTGGCCCGCGGACCACAGATTGATAATCCACTGCTTTCCCCTTCCTTATTCAATATGGACCACTGGGAGGGGGGATGCTAGTAAAAGGCTACTAGTCTCCAAGGAGATCGCGTTCGTAAAATACTTTTAATAATTGGTTTTCTACCCTTCCCCAGTCTTGTACGCTTCTGAATTCCCATACTTAACTTCAGCATTTAATAATTCCCCGACTCTTTCATTGCAATCAAAACAACATAATTCCAGGCTTTCCTATCTATTTATGTATTACACATGAAAAAGAGCAAAAACGAGGAATAAACACTTTTACACTTTTACTAAATCAGGAAGGCAGGTACTTCATTGCATTTATAGGGTGCAGGGAACGGGGGTACCATCTAGTGGGGACTCATGGTACTGCACCGAGGGAAGTGCCAGCTTCATTATGGGAAGAGAACTGGTGGCCCTCCACCTACAATAAGTAATGGGCCAGTAACTGCATGTCCCACTTGCCGCCCCGTTTCCGCCCCCGACAGAAATCCGCCAGTGTAGTGCCTGGGTCGCTTATGGCCCACTACTTTTGTGCTACTTGGGGACACATCCTGAGCATCTTTTAAATATCACCTGACTTGCAGGACAGTTCATAATTTAGGTTAGTTTGCACGACTAATGCAAGTTCAACTCTCATGCAACATGCTTCAAGGAATTTTCAATCTTGAATATAAGGGAAAGTTGTGTGTAACAGATTTTTCTTGTGTTGTGATTTCCCATTGGAGTGAACAAGTAGCATGTTTTACCACTCAAACTTCTCATGTAACTGTGCGTTTTTGGTGGAGTCATCATTCAGTATTCTAAAGGATCTTCACCTATTACCTCCACTCGTCTTGCATATAAGCACTGCACAACGTAAGGCCAGATTCTGGGATGCATGATAAGCTCCAGCAGGCGCCTGTGCGGCTAGAGCATGGAAAGACTTCTACTCGCGTAGTATGGCTGCCACCATGGCCCTGTCTGGATAAAGGATGCTCTCTGACAGGCATTCGGTCGAAGCTTGGATCCAAGGGTGAATTCGGATTGATTTCGCAGGCCTACATATTCGAATTGACTTTGAACCGTGGCGCATTGATTCTGAAAATTTTGGTTCAGGCAATGAGTTTTTTAATATACTTTGGAAGTTATTCTTCACGTGTGTGCCTGCGAACTTGATTCGAAATGCCGAGAAACAGATCTATCCTAGCCTAAAATCCTAGCAGTAATTTTCCAGCTGGACCAGAGTTGCGAATTCAAACTCATTCCAGCCGAGAAGCAGCTGGAAAATGCCGAATCAACGTTAGTTCCCAGTTGGGAGTTTTCCATCTGGGTTGCAGCTCGTTTTATCTGCATCCAGTTAAAATTTTAAACTGGGTATCTTACTGCTGGAATGGGGTTGAATTTGCAGTTGTGATCCAGTTGTTATCGTACATGTATCTCAATTAGAATTTGAAAGCAAATCTTAGTTCACTTCAACTTATTTTGGAAGTTCCAGCTGGAAATCAGTCTAGAGCCAGCTTCCTTATCTAGTAGTTTCTCAGCTGGATTAGATCTGAATTTATACCTGTGGTCCAGCTAGGAATTACAGCTGCGTATTTGGATCTTAAACATGGACAATAGAACTTAAGTTAGAAACACCAATACCTATGTTGCTGTGGGCCTGCCTGCCTAGGCCTCAGCAAAGTCATGGAGTCAACCCAAATTCACTGTAGGTTTAGGTTAACTAACTAATGTTGTAGGATGATGCCTAATTTCAATTGACCTAGAGCAATGTAGACTTATTGAAAGTTATGAAATACTCATAATATTTGCCTTCATATAGTTGATCTTTTTGCCTCTAATAGTTTGCATCAAGCCTTTGCACACTGATAGGAGACCATATTTACAAATGCGATGACTTGAGAATGTTGCTCCCATGAACCTTAGGTTTAATTTCTGGTAGGGGCTCATACCTACGACTGGGTAAGTAACATAAGTATATCATGCAAAATTTGAATCTTTGGATATAGGCATGATGCATATGCATAATATTCCTCAACATAAAAGAATCCAAGTAGATATTTCAGGACTTTTCTTTTCCATAGTTGCAAAGATGGAGAATGCTGGTGATTATTTCATATTATTTCATAGGATTAACTTTAACCTTGAAGATGCACATGGTAGTATGCCTCTTGCTTATGAAGTATACCTGTTGCACATGGGATCCAAGCCTTGGTTTTCTTTTAGGGAGATGTATATATTCTTTTCTAATAGAAAATAAATGGAAAAAAGAATAACTTCTAAGCAAGGGAAAGCAATACACATGGAAGGTTATACAAGAGGTGGTCCATAAGATCCTTAGCAATTTATTAAATTTTTTAAAATGTGCTATTGGTCTTATATCCAGTAGTAGACTTATGATATCTTTTTGATGTTGCTATTACAGAATTATATCCATAATGAATTCTTGCAATTGAATTTTAGGTGCCAGTATAGCATGTTCTCTACCACCTTAAAGTGTGATCTACCTCCCAGGAAAGTGAGCAAAACCTTGCTTGCTCAAGAGGTAGATCAAAATGAGATGGCAAGGGGGTTTAACTTTAGAATCTGTTACCATTCCTTCGGGAGCAAATAAGTGTTGGTGTTGTACAGATATCTATATGGATATATTGGTAATATATTTTTCATTCTCATGGCACATTTTCCTATGCCCTTTCGGTCTAGTGTTTGTCATTCCAGCGAGACTTGTCGATGCACTGGCATAGTTGGTGGACCCCCATTATTTTCTCCCAGGTTCAGTGTCAAAGGCCCAAAGGTGAGAAAGTCAACCTATTTTGGAGGATGATGGGTCAGTTGGGTTAGAAAATAATCACAGCCTTTGGCCATGATCCTTTTCTTACCCAACTGACCCATCATCCTCCAAAGTGGGTTGACTTTCTCACTCTTGTGGCCCAACAAGGAAGGAATACAGCTCCTTTGATGTGTGCTTATTGTTAGTTCTTATGTGGTGCACTTGGGTTTAGTGAAAACTCAAAAAAGCATATAGGGAAGGTATAGTGCATGCTATACCAACTCTGAATTTTATATGATCTGATTGCAATTCTCAGTTTTCAAGAATATATAGTAACAATTTTACAAATTGAGTTACTGGTAGAATTTCCTGGTTTTTTAAATTTAAATATTATATCTAATGTTTACTTTCTCCATTGTGCAAATGGTTCATTATTTATGAAGTTGTATCTTAGACCCTTTTCCAATTGAACTTGTGGTTTTAATGAATTTCTTTATCTCACATTGCTGGGATGCTGGCAGAAAGTGCTAATGCACTTACACCCTTTTTCCATATCCGCGCTGCTGAAACTTTTTCCAACAAGACTTTCACTGCTTCTTTTCAGTTAAAAATAATAATTTATGAGTAAATGCATCTATAGATTTCAAATAAGCTCTTTTTCCAAGAATAGCAATAAAAATGTGAATATTCTGGACACACTTCATTTACCAATTACTTAGCAGTGATCTAATATTAATGTGTTCACCATTTGAATCTGCAACAATTCATGAATGTCTCACACTTCTCACATCCTTCCAGAGGCTTGAATGACTTAGTCTCTTTCTCTTTCCTCATGTCTGGCTTCTTCCTCATTTTCACTTTCAGTTAAAAGAGTGAAATAATTCCATCAAATTCATTCAGCATGCAATTGTTAATGGAATATTCATGGATGATTGAGGACAAAATTTGGAAAGTGGTAATCAGGAGAAATCGGAGGAGTGGGAAAAAAATAGCACTCAGCTCATGCGAACATGAAGACCTAATTACTAATACTGCTCCATCAGTCTAAAGAGAAATGGGATCCAGGCTTGATTTAAAAATGGCTTAACCAATAGGTGAATTTGTTCTCTCACTTGGTTCTCACAGATTACCAGCATCTTAAGCAGAGACATAAGCCTGGCTATCACATCATGTGATATTTACCATTGCCGAGACATGTGACAGAAGAAGGAGAAGAAGCAACAATGAATATCATGCGAAGGATAGTTGGTGGAGCACCTGGTAGACACTGTCAGGATGCTTTCCAGACATCCCAACAAACAGAGCTAGGAATTATGCATCTGAAGAAACTGTACTGTGAATTCTCTCATCCTTCCCATCATCTTTCTGATAAAGAGCGGGAGGACAAAATGTATAATATGCTGCCACTTTTCAACAAGGTAAGGGATTCAAAAACATTTTTCTGCAAAGCCTCATATTATAGCATAGTATGTAATTTTTCATTCAATATTCTAATCTATAAGACTAGTAGAATTTAATACTGGTCTGGTATTGATTGGGTCTCTATATAAAACTGAGTACAAAAAACCAGAGATATTGGGTGCAGGTACAGTGTCTTTCTATTGAGTAGTGGTAAATTTGAATAGGTTATTGCACCTTGCACTTGAAATAATGGTGGCTTATCGAAATAACCTAAATGGTATTGTATGAGAATGTTGGATTACTTAAACTTCCATTCCAATTGTTATTTTAATCTTTTCTTTTGTGTGCCATGACTGAATTATAATTTTTGTGAACAGATTCACTAGCTTGAATTTTGTCTGTTTTATAATGTCCTTTTCAGACCTTCAGTGCATGCCCATCTACAAGCCTCACTGAGAAATTTCCTGACCGATTGTCCTTCACCCAGCAAATCTCCAAACTCATGGTCAATGAGATCAAAAAGAGAGCTGCACATCAGTCAACAGAAGCAGCAAGCAAGGATATAGTAAAATTCTTGGAAATAGAGAATTCTGAAGAATCTAGCAGAGGTTGGATGCTTCTCACAGCAATAAACATCTTGGCAGCCGGTGATTCAGCTGTTATTGAAGTAAGAGAATATTGCTAATGGCATATGTTATTTGAGATGACTTACATTAACTCATCCATACCCTCTATATGCAGATTTTTCCTGCATTGACAATGACATGGCATATATTGCTCCTCTTTGTAGGTGATGACAAGTGCATCTCTGCCTTCAACTCTAGTAAAATGCCTCTACCTGTTTTTTGACCTCCCTCCTGTCAATGAAGGGGCAAGTCCTAATGCAGAGTTCAGTCCTGAGGAAAGGAGGCTTTTGCTCCAGAAAGTCTTTGTTGAGGTCAGCCTTACATTCTTTTCATGAAGAGAAATGGCATCTCCAATTAAATTGGTGATGCCAACTACATCAAATATGCATAAGAGGATTGTTCAATTTGGTTGTTCTCCATTTTTACCAGGTATTGGTGAAGCTCTGCAGTCATCTTGCACCAGCAGAGGAACTGGCTCGCAAGGATGATCTATCTCTCCTATTTGGTGCCATTACCAGTTCATGCCCACCACATAACACTGGCTGGAGGAAGAGTGCCACTGAAGTCTTGATGACCCTCTCAAGACATGGTCTCAATGAGAGAGTCATTAACTATATACACTGTAAGTTTTGATGGATTTCAGTATAAAGATTGTGTCTGTAGTACATATTAATTGACTGCTTCTGTCGTTATGTGGCCTCAATGCCACATGATACTAAAGAAAACTTGTCATTTGACAAAATGAACTTGTATGACTTTGTTCAGTTATTTTATATAGGTTTATTAACCCTCTGTTTCTATTTTATTTCTTAGTGTGTATTGTGTGGTTCATATTTCCACATTGTTGAATTTCTTTCCCCACAGTCAAAGGCTGTGTGGCACTGTGCTTGGAGAACATGCAGCGAGTTCAAGAGTTGTCACCATTGGAAATAGTCGAAATGTTTGTCACTCTCTTCTGCTTCCTGAAGGACTCTAGTGAGGTCTCTCAGACTTTGCTGGATGACTTTCGCAATTGCCATGGATATGCCTACTTGTCTGACTTCTTACTCAGGTCCAGTCCTCTTTCAAATGTCAAAATGGTCATCCCTTTTTGCAATGCATACATGATGAAAGAACATTAGTAATAATTAATAATCTTATGTCTTTTTAGGTTAGAGAAAGACCACTCTGAAGAGGCCAGAGATGCAGTTCGGAATCTGGTCCTCATTGTTGCCTCCCTTGCAATGTGTGGCTTCCATGAGCTGAAGCCAAATTCTGGAAGCTGTTCATCTTTGTTCAAACTTCCTGGGTTCACTATGCCCAACCCATCTGGTCAAGGTCAGCATGAGAATAGTAGCCAGTTGTAGCATATACAGGCTGACCATGATGTAGTGATACCATTTCATGTAATCACAAAATCTGCATTTATACAAAGTGCACTATGTTACAAATATAAACTACTGAATTTGGCAATTCACTGACATACAATTGTTCATTACTTTCCTGAATATCTCACTCGTTAAATATTGCACCAAGAAGATAACCTCCCTGAAGGTCTTGCTTGCAACAATTAATTGTCCATTTTCACAGGGTCTCACATAAAATGGACAACACAGCCTCTTTGATGTTGCTTTTTAGTGCCATCATTATTGGTGGTCAGTTGCAGAACACTTGGGATATAAAAAAGCCCCACAAGAAAAAATATGGATCCAACAGATCTGGTGGTGGTGGCTGGCATTGCAACATCACTAATGATGGACAATGTCATTACTTCTTTTCAAGCTATAAACATTCAGGAAAGTAATGAACAATTGTATGTCAGTGATTCGTCAAACCTAGTAGTTTTTACTTATAGTGCACTTCATATTTTCAGAAATACTGATTCTGTGATTACATGAAATGGTATCACTTTATCTAAGTCACCTTGTACCTGTGCCATAAAGTGATGGTTTTGCCTAGTAGCATTGGCAGATCTATGAGTTAGCCTCACTCCATGCTCTACAACAGTGAAAGTAAATAAGTAAAATAGGAGAAACCAGGAAAAAAAGGGTATAATTCTAAGTTGCAGTTCCCAAAAATGAATAGGGCATATGTATTTTTCATAGGCTTTAGTTTGAGGGAAATTTAAAATAATAATAATAATAATTTGAACAAGATTTCTATTCAGGGCATCTAAGCATGTAGAAGCCACTGTATCAGGTGACAGACTTGATTGTGAATGTCCATTTTCATCCCATCACTGTGCAGTTATGGGATGAAAATGGAGATCCCAAATAGTTGATGCACATGATGTGAATTGGTCTGTGCTTTTGAGTATACTGTCAATTAGGTGGGTATTCGAACATACTCAAGTCAGATACTGAGTGCTCCTGCCCTGTTAACTGAGTTGTTGTGTTCAATCATTCATATCATTGTTACCTCTTTGTTCACTGCATAGCACATAAACTTCTTGAGTGGGTATTATACATATATCCATCATGGTGAAACACTCCCTTGGTGGGTTTCATATTTATATATGTCTTGTTATTTTTTTTAGTTTGAGTTAAATATAAACTCAAAACACTTGCACAATTGGTACCCCACTAACATGAAATGGTCATTGACAAGGCTGTGTTTTATTCCTGTCTTTCTTTCCTACCAGGCTCAATATTTAAATTTTCTATGGATTTCAAGGCTCCTGCAATAATAACTTTGCCATATTGAGAGAGGGTGTTGGATGTTCTTCCTTCTGTTTTATAAATTGCTTGCCAATTTCCTCATTGTATTAAGTCGGTTGGTTAAATTGAATGTAATATTTGATAGGTGAAGGACAAAGATTAGTCCCGAGGAGAAGCTGATCCATGAGAGAGAACACACCCATTTCTGAGTTTATAGTTGAAGCAGATTTTGTTATGGTGGAATTAGGAAAAAAAAGGATAGGTTTTATGCCTGGGTCACCCAATAGGGCTACCTCTGTACTTTTGATCATACCTTCATACATTTCTAAATTACCTAGAGACTTTGGTTTGGCCAAGTTTGTTTGGTAGGGTTGGCTGAGTCTATCTCCATGGTTTAAGCAGAATAAGACATGTCTACAGGCAAATTATGTTTGAGGTTTTGATGTGCAGGCCTATGGACTTTGTTGATTCTGTAATGAAGGAATCACATTAGGAACAATAGAACTGATGGTATGGTCATTAGATAAAGAGGTATTATTTGACATTTTCTTTTGAAAATCTGATAGGCATGGCAGTTTTTAACAGTTTTTGGTGTCAATTACTACAATGGTGCCAAAACTAATTTTGAATGTGCAATAGTGCTAACCTCTCAGGGTTAGTGCCTGCCTCATGATGAAGTATAGCATCTCTTTGCACCATCACTAAACTATGATTGAGATGACCTTGCATTTAATTTAAATCTTGATGTTACTCTGACATGAAACACAGAAATCATTGTCACAGTAACATGTAATGCTGATGTCATACTTGAACTCATTCTGTATTGGTAACATACTTAAGAGAATACAATACAAAAGAGCAAAAAAACATCAGGTAACATCTGTTCTCCCATTGTGGAATCCTGTCTTCTGCTGCCTAACATTGCTTGATACTTTTTCAGGGGCAAGTGTGAGGAATATAGAGGCTTTCAAGGTCCTTCAGTCTGTGTTCCTCAAAGCAACGTCAATAAATCTCTGTGGCGTCATCCTTGATGCCATATCCAGTGTGTACCATGCTGACAATGCCAACTATTTCATTCTGGAAAATCAACATACCCTTTCTCAGTTCTCTGAGAGAATCTATTTGAAACCTCCAGAGATCCAGGTATGATTGTGTTCAGGGCTTTTGATATTTTTGAAAAATCGAAAAGAAATTTTTTTTCCTTATTTTCTCGTCATCTTGCTTTCTAGGAGAAGTTCTTCCAACTCTTGGAGTTTATTGTATTCCATCTTAACTTCGTGCCATGCAAGGAGCTGATCTCATTCTCATTGCTCCTCAAGGCTCAGCAGTCTATTGAGTGCTGCATTTTGTGCATGCAGACACTTCTGAACATCCTCAGGTAAGTCAGGCTGAAATAGCTCTACATTTATTGGCTAGTTAGGAATGACACAATGGCATTTCTTACTTCATACTTGAAGTATGACATTCACCAAGACCAATATTAGTGTGTTCTCCATCTTGGCATCCATCCATCTTTAATAATTGAGGGGTACATTTATGAGCTGCTAGGATGATTAGATTATTTGGGGGGGAGGGGGGGTGGAAGGTTCCTAAAATTGCAAAAGCAGATGGGAAATTGAGACAGGGATTCTTCAGTCACTGGAGAATGGAAGAGAGAGTTTTCATCTGAAGTCAGGAATATATTGAGTATTGATTTATTGGTTATCAGCTGATGCAACTTTTAACCCTTCTTGTGGCCCATAATACAAGGGTCACCCCAAAAGTTCAAGAACATTTTATCCTACATCAATTTGAAACACCAAATGCAGCATTATTCCAAGTGAACTTTCTCTATATACTTCCCATGAAGCTGCACACACTTCTGCCACTTCATCAGCTTCTCAAGTCCTTCAGCAAACCAGTTTGCTGGGGTCACTTGAACCCACTGGTTCACAGTGGGAACATGCTCCAAGGATGCACCAAGGTCGGGTTGACCTTGGCAAATCATCCAATGTATCTCATTCTGCTTCATAGTGATGCACCCACTTATTTATGGCACTTTTGGCAAAAGCTCTTTCCCCATAAACTTCTTGCAGTTCACAACCAATCTGGGCCTGTGACTTTTTCTGTTTCCACAGAAACCAAATTCCACCTCACTGGACCCAATCAGCATAGTGGTTATATATAGGTCTACTTAAAAATAAGATATCTTTGAAACAGGAAGGAGCAATTACACCATCATTCCTAAGTTAACACCATGAGACATCAATATGAACACTATGGTTAGACCATTGCTACCAGATCACATGTAAAGAAAATATTCACACTTGTTCTTGAACTTTTGGGATGACCCTCATATATCACCATTTTGGTGAGACTGTTATTTGGTGGGAATAAATAGATATTTTCAGTGATAAAAAAGTGGAAAATGTAATAAGTGTGTGACATCATGGATAGTAATAATAATAATTCACTTGCTCACTAGTGCATTCAGTCACTCAGGTAGTGAAGTGTCTGCATTCAAAGTTGCTTGTAGAGTGCTGACATGTCTTGTGTACTAGTGGCATGAGTTGTCATAAAGAGTCACTTACTTGTGGGCAGAAAAGGTTACAGGTGCACCTGTAAGTACTTTTCTTTTATTAGAAAGTGAAATTTGTATGTTAAAAAAACGAGACTACTTATAACTATCAACATGCATGTTTGTGAGCTTCCATTCCCCCCTGTCCCCCCCCCTTTTTTTTTCTGCTTCTACAACATTTTTGAAAATTTATTTTTTCATTTCCTTTGCTTTGGCAATACAACCTCCCTCAACAACAGCCGAAGCAACAATGAAGTGAGGCTTGTAGTCAGCAAGCAGCTTGGACAACACCAGTGATGCTGCAATTCGCTGGAGGGGCAGCGGTGCCGTCCACTGCACAGCAGACACTCAAAACTATTATGTGTTTCAGAACACCTCTATGAGGCATAGGGTTAATAGGCTGTTAAAATTCATAAAGATTCGATGATTCCCACATTCTATAAGAATGATGTAGTATCATACTAAATTGTACAGTAGAGTTGAATATAATTCTCAATATTCCACCATAGTTAAGTCATGTGCTACTGTGGTGGAATATTGAGGTCTTGCATGATATTACACTCTCAACATTGATGCTATGTACAAATTCATCTTTGAAATAGGCATGATGCTGTGTTTCGAGATGTGTATCGAGAGGTTGGTCTCCTGGAAGTGATGGTTGGCTGCTTGGAAAAGTTTTCATCTTTGATCAAGCAAAAATCAGAGAATCCAGGTAGACTGTGTTGAGAATTCAAATTTTGCTTGAATCATGAATTATCTTTTTTTTAAATGTACATTTATTAATTTATTTGTTAGAACCAGGAAATGAGCTGGAGAAAGACCAAGAAACCTTTGGCTTCATGATCATGGAGACATTAGACATCTTGGTCTCTAGCTCAGCAAGCAATGCAGGAGTTTTCAAGGAGAGTGGTGGCGCCCGATGCATTCATTCCATGATTCCTTTTGAAGAATGTCGAACTCCAGCCCTTGGTGAGATGCTAGGCTTATCTAAATGTCAATGTTGCTTGCATGAACAGATCTGTGTAAAGTGTATGGCAAAAAAAATTGTATCACCTTTAGCCTGAATGTCTCCATGCACACTGAATATATTTTCAGGGAAACTTGCTTTGAAACTTGGGCATAAATTGATACATTGCCACCTTACCTTCAGGATTTCATATGAATTGATTTTACCAAAGCAAGACAAAGCAGTTTTTCAAACGAAATTTAGGGTGGATTTTTGAACAGAGTACTATCCGATAATGCTGCTTTATTTACCAGATTTATAATGCATTTTCTCAGAAATAAAGCTGCATTATCGGATAGTTCTCTGTTCAAAAATCCACCCTTAAAATTGAAAGTCAACAGGGGACTCCAGGCCCTTCTGTGTGACTAGACACTTGCTCTCCTAGACTAGTCTAGATCTCTAGTAGAAACCAAAGGAAAGTCTGAATAAACAATAAACAAACTCTCTGTAATGATTTATTGTTTCATTGGTCTTTCATTATATTCAAAACTAAAAGGGGTGGCTGAAAATTTTCTTTGCCTAAGTAGGAAGGGTTTAGGCAAGTGGAGTGTTGTTTAAATACACTGTGGCTTAACATCTGGTGATTATGCATATAGTGAAACCTGTGTAGTATGGCCATAAGGGGGACTTTCTAAAATTGTCTGATTCTGACAGGTGGTTACTATAAGAGGGGGATTCCCCCCCCCCACAATCTGTACTTACCAGTCATTTTTTTCAAGAAAATTAAACACACTGTATACTACAAAGGTACCCTTACAAAATGTCCACCCCCTATCCACTAGGTCAAACAACCAGGTGGATAGGGGGTGGATTTGGAATCAGGTGGATGTCCTCCCGGTGGAAATCCATCTAGGCATTCACACACATGTATTTCAAACCAGGTGGATTTTCCCTCAGGTAGATATTGCTCCAACAGGTGGAAATATCATCTAGGGGGACATCCTCCTGGTTCGAAATCCACATGAGAGGTGGACATTTTGTAAGGGTATTGTACTTCTGATTTTGTCAGGTTTTAATTATACACTGCTAAAAATTAGGAGAAGATTACTTCAGTGTGAGGAAGTCTTGAATGTTCGTTTGTCATGCACCCATTTTGTGTAAGCACTCTCGCTCCTGGAGAGATGCTTCAAGCTTTGTGATTGCTTCAATTGACTTGTGCATCTCCTCTGCCAAAAAGCACTTCAGCTTCTCTGCAGCACTCAATGGCCTTTAAGTGAGGGAGCCAGATACAGGGAAGAACTAGTGGCAGGTCAACGCTCTTGACGATTCTCTCACTATTGAAGCTCGGGATGTGACCTTGACAATCAAGCAACAGTTTAATTTGGGGATTGGGGAGGGGGAGAGGGAGGGGAAAGAGGCAATATGGAGGAAAAGAGGGAAGCTACAAGGCAGGGAAATTAAAAAGAGGAAGGTAATAAACCTGCAATCTTCTTTCCTTTCTGTGTTCTGCCTGGATTAAAGAGTGGCCAGCACAGAGGGTCTACAAATCCTTAGCCGCTGGCCACATTGTACAGGAGGCCAGATAAAACAGGTTATTTTAACATTGGGCCTATGGAGCCACTGAGAGTATTGTCATGAAACTGTGGATGCATAATCACAAGATGCTAAGCTATAACATATATACATGACACTCCCCTTGCCTATCCCCTTCCTACTTAGGCTGAGAACTTTTAAGCCACTCCTTGAATCTACAAGAAAGGCCAGCCCAAAGAGTGGATTTTGAATGGAGCAAAGTTCAATTTTTTTATCTGCAAGGATAGCACAATGATATTTCCTCCTCTTCACTATCAGCATAAGCTCTTGTCCATTTATGTTGTCCAGTTTTTGAATACTTGCTCCTAGTCTTGCCTCGGTACCAAAAATTCATATGACATTTTAAGCACTTTATAGAAACATTCCTCTTTGCATTGTGGGTGTTTAGAACTCTTGTGAGAGCAGAGCTGCAGTGTAGCAGTAAATTGTTATGAGGATTGCAAACATATTTTTCCTACATTCCACACCATCTTTGGTATGGTTTTGCTTAGATGTCAGCCTGTAAAGCTGGTCTCTTTTGGAACTGAACTTTCCGAGTCTCTTTGGACAGGAATTTCCAGATATTTGACCAGTGAATTTTAAAGTGCTTGATTGGCCAAACCAGCTGAAGTAAAATTCTGGAAAATGTACATGATAGAAAACATATAATTGCATACCAGATATAACATACACAGCAGTAGCTTTCTCAATTTTTCAGAAATAAGAATTCAAAAAGCCATGTGTTGTTTTCTCTGCATCTGTTGTTTTTTTCATTAAAATTCCCTGAACTATGCACAAAGATGGAGGAAGGAAGAATAGGTGAGTGGAGAATGATAGGATCACTCACACATGGTTAAGCAGGCTTATGAATGGAGGAAAAGGGAATGGTGAGTGTATCTCACAAGTGGCACCTGAGAATTGATGAATTGATCAAGTCATTTATCAAAGAGTTTGGGTTTGAAAGAAATTGATTAAATCTATGTGATGTCCCTGATGCCTCCTATAGGAAATATAAAAACCATTAGTATTTTTACATCTCTTTGTGCTTACATGATTTTTTTTCTCTTGCAGGTATTATAAAGCAGTTAGTTTTCTGCACTGGTGCTGAAGATGATTTTGCAACCCTATTGGGATTCATGCATTCTGCTCCAAAAAGCTCCTTGAAGCTAAAAATTGACATACTACAGGTATGGGACATATTTTGTCAATGATGCTTTGGGATATCACAGTAGCATATAGTCTCACTCACTCCAATTGTTATGATTATGTTGTTGTTGGTCATTTGCCTTCAGGCGGTGCTGCATTGTCTGAGAGATAGTCATCGGACTCGAACAATTTTTCGAAGAGTCAATGGATTCGTGTATGTCCTTCATGTACTGGTATCAATGGAAGGTTCCCTTCGTGAGAATCCACCATCTCCTTGGGATGCTGCTGACAGAGATGAGGTCTGGACAGCGATTCACTGTGTTTTCAATACCCTCACCATTGCCATGAGGTTTGAGCCTGGCAATGCAAAGTTTTTCCATCATGAGGTATGTGTTTTGATCACCTTGTATCAGAGGGCATTGACCTTCTTCATTCACCTATGATCTGAAATTTCATGTAGCAATGGACTTTTCTCACAGATGTGTTATTCAAGCTTCTGTCGGACACTGAGGCTTCTTGGGTGTTTCTCAAGTGATGAAATCCTTGGGATACCCACAGTCTCCCTTCCTTCTAACTATGATGCAACATTCCAGCCTGTGTTCATCTCATACCCCTCTCAAGCAAGGTTTCTTATGCTTTGCATTTTTTTTTTGTTAATTTGCTCATCCTGTCCATTGTGAGTGCTGCCATGCATGCCTTGGAGCTTATGTTGTCTTTGCAGTCTTCTGAAGGGCATTCCTGCTTCTCTGTGTTATGCCTGCTGGATTCTCCGTCTTCTGTATGAGATGGCACTGGATTCCTTTGACAAACCAGACCTCCTGGCTGCCCTGGCTCCTAAACCATCCACAAAAGCGACATTATCAGTTGATGATGAAAAAATGGATGAACCTCTACCAAGCCCCAAGAAGCCACCACCTGGGGGTTTGAATCTCTCTGCACCACTACCTGATCCTCTGATTGTCCATCCAGGAGTAGTAGTGACCATGCTTCACCTCCTGCCTTCCTTGCAACATGAACATGAATATCAGGTATATCTTCATTATATACAGAAAGCTCAAGGCTCATGTTGCATTCTATTTGTGATGTGCACCATGTCTCATATCATCATCTCATATACATTTTTTGTTTGCTTAGGCATGAGCCTTGGATGGGTCAGCCATCAGGTGTATGAATGTTTCTTCTATAAAAAGGATCATTTGGGGGCTTGAGATACACCTCAAACTTTGAATCCCTGGGGGGAAGTGATGTTTGCCACCATTTTTGTATCCTTGGACTGGTTTGACCTAGAATATCAACCAATACCCTCTTTCAAAGAGCTTTCATAGTACTAAGCACCAACATAACTCATTTTTACTATATTAACTTTCAGCATTGCAGTCTTATTTTAAAATGTAAGTAAAAAGCTAAGTTTGGGCAAGAACTTCCTATATTAGGGTTCAATGAAGGTAAAGTGTATTCACTCCAATCACAGGGTTTATCTCAAAGGATTTGCTGGTAGATGTTTGGCAATGTGTTGGTACCTGACAGGAATGGATTGATGTCCACTTCTCATGCCTTTGATGGCTTGGGCCCCTTGCCATCATGGTAGGAGTTCCTCTGGTACCATGGTAGGAGGAAAGGAAGGATTTGTTAAAACTCTTGGCAGAAAACAGGTTTCTCTCCTTCCTCTTCTCCACATTCTGGGATGTTCAAGCTCCTCTTCATTGCCATTGCCTCCTGGGTTACCTTTTCAACTTTCTTTTGGCCATATGACTTGTGCTGAGCCATTCCACACCTCAGCTTCACTGGACTTTCCCAAAGAAGCCTAAGGGACTGGTTGAGATCCCCTGTTGCCAATTCACTGGAAAAGTTTGCAGTATTTACCAGGTGTCACCAACTTCTTTACCATAGTGTGGCACCTTGGGCAAAGATTGTTTCCTGGAATGAGAGAGACTCACATGCTTTTCCAAGAGTGCCAAATTGAAGGAAATTATCTATAAGGGGTGTTCAAATGAAAAGTGGACAAGTTGGAAATAAAGCATTAAATATTTAATTGTCTATGTAAATTCACCATGGCTGTTGAGACATGTATCCCAATGTGAAGTTAGCAACATGATATCTCATTAGTATAATGACTTTGACTGTTGCATCAGGAAATCTGTCACCATGTGCTGCACCTCTTCGTATGACTTGAACTGCCTTCCTTTCATGGCTTTCTCTAGATGTCTGAAAATGTGAAAATCTCGTGGGGAGAGGTCAGGACTGTAGAGAGGGTGTTCCAGGCACTCCCAACCATACCTGTTCAATGTTGTTACAGTTAATTGGACAGTATGGGGGTGGATGTTGTCATGCAACAAAACATGGTGTCGCCATTTCAGTCCAGAAACAAAGCAAATGAGCACATAATGGAAGCATTGAAGCGACTTGTCCGCTTTTCATTTGAACGCCCTGAAAGCGACTTGTGCTTATTTGTGTCCCTCACAACCTTTTTGTGTCTTTTGAAAGGATCTCCACAACTCCTAGGCACTTTGATAACACTGTACCTATGATGGTACACAGCAAGGTGCTGGCAGCACTCATTTTCTAGGCATTCAAAGGCAGGGTATGCATGCTCAGCATTTCTTGCTGTTTTACCAACATATCAGCAGAACTTAGGAGGCAATGTGTTCCAATTAGAGCCCACAAACTGGGGCTGGTGACATTGCTCCTCAAGTATGATGCCAATAGAACAGGAATCCATCATAAAATGCCTTAGCAACTGGAATAGTGACAGGTAGAGTTCTCACACTTTGGAATAGGAGCATAAGCACACAACTTGAAAGCCTCCACTTCAAAGGAGCACTTTTTCAAAGTATCACTCTGATCAAGTGAAGCATGAAAGAGTAGTGTGGCTTGGTTTTTATTTAGTACTACCTTAGTGCCATCTGGAAAAAAATCCTCCCTATTATGTCCCATTAACAAACAATTGCAATAGAATTAATTAAAGAAGGGTGTGGTTTCCCATGTGGATAGTAACTACTCATGTCTCAAAGCTCACATAGTTTGATTTATTTTTGTTGATCTCTACTATATCATATTATTGCCAAAATTTTGCTTTTGTCTGGGATTTTGAAATAAAATTGCAATGTTTAAAGTTACTTTGGTGAAAATGTGAGTTACCGGTACTTAGTACTATGAGAGCTCTTTGAAAGAAGGTATTGGTTGAAGTTCTAGGTCCAACCAGCCTGAGGACATGAATAGGTGGCAACACTACTACTCCCCTGGAAGTTAAAGTTTAAGCAATGAATCTCTGGCCCATGGAGTCATAAAAAAAAATTTGGATTCTACACTCTTTAGCTGGCCTTGGGACTTCAAGTGTACTGTGGAGAGTTGCTGAAAAGTCTAATGAGGACAGAGCGGAATCAGCAGGTGATGTGTGATGCAGGTTTCTCCTATGAGCTATTATCAAAGTGCAGTCAAGCCTTGGAAGATGAAAGCCATGTGCTCCACCCTGTCATCCAGTACATGCTAGAGAGATTGGCTGCTCAAACCTTGGAGCCTAATGATCTCAGGTCAGTTCCAGTGCATTAAGGAATTGCAACATCAATGTAAAGAGTGTAGATGTAATTTTGTTTTTAATTGCAACCTTTCCTTCAGGATGTTCCTACGGTTAAACTCCCCACTATGTTGTGATGACAAACAAGGTGTGAAGACAGTGAAGTCAGAAGAAGTTATTCCATTGACTCGAGTGAAAACCCTTGTTTCGATGACAACTCCCAAAGATTGTAGAATGGGTGGCTCCTCCATCACTCCTCCATTTGTGGAATTTGACATGAGCATAGAAGGCTTTGGATGCTTGTTTCTTCCAAGTCTTGCCCCACAAACGGTGTCTGCTCCATCTGTTGTTGGAGTTGGAAGTCCTAATGCTGCCCTCATTGGTGGCATAGGCACAGGTTTGTTTTCCTACAATGCAACACACTATTTTTGATATAATTAAATTGTTGTGTCAGTATGATCATTGATAAATTTGCATGTTTCCAGGAGACCGGATCTTCCCTCCACAGACAGGGTTGTCCTTTTCAACATGGATCTGCATTGACAAGTATTCTGATCCTAGATCAGACCCTCACTGTGTACGATTGTTGACAATTGTACGAACATCACAAGGAAAGGAACAGTTAATTTGTCTCAATGTCATTCTTGCTGCACGGGATAAGGCTGTGATAGTTTCAACATTTGAGAAGTCACTTCCTCAACCTGGTCAGTTAATGGATATGTTCAAAAGCATATCTTACCTTCATCTGTTCATACAGAAAGCTTTTTCTTTATTGCAATCTCTCTGAATTGTAGGTCAGTCCCAGATTGATTGGGAACCAGATGTTGTTGGTGACTGGGGAGTACGAGAATGGTGTCCAAACCTCCTGTACGAAGGGCAGTGGCACCACATTGTGGTAGTTCTCAATCGTGCTGTCCTCAAAAATTCTTCCTTCAGCCTCTTTGTTGACGGAGAACACATCACTTCAAAAAAAGTAGGATTTGCCTCAATCTCAGTTTAAAGTCATATTTCTTTTCTTTGAAATATTCCTAATGATAGCATTCCATTTCCTCCAGCTTCACTACATACCTCAGAATCCAGGAGGGGGGTCAGCAACATTGAGTATTGCCTCTGCAGTCTATGCCTACATTGGTACACCACCTCACTATAGACGTCAGAGTCGGCTCTTGTGGAAGCAAGGGCCCAGCCATCTTATTGAAGACATTCTCACTCCTCATGTTGTACAGGTCATATACAATCTTGGACCTAATTACATGGGAAGTCTTCAAGCACCAGAACTTTTTGGTATGTGTTGATTTTTTTGTTTTCTGCTCCAGTGCTCTTTCCTTTTTTTTGCTGTATATTCAGGAACCCTTCCAGATACTGTCATGCATGACTTCTATTTTAGATGACTTATTGAAATTGGCAAGTAAAAAATAAGCACAGGGTAACGATCTTCTTTCAGGTATAGAGCCAATGCAACCTCTGGTCAGTGAGGACAAGGTCATCTTTGGCCTGAATGCCCTTGCTATGTCTCAGTTGACATTATCCAGGATTAGAAAAGTCTACAGTCGTGTGGATTCCAGGAGCATTGCCAAGCAAGTGAGTGATATGGTTTTATATGATTCTGCTTCAAGTGCTAATGCTAGTATAAAGGAGTTTATTACTAATAGGGGTCTTTATTTCTACAGCTTGGGATGTCAACTCATGATAATGCTACGCCAGTCAGAGTCCTTCATAATTCATCAGGCCACCTAAATGGTCCAGCTCGTTCCCTTGGTGGAGTTGTCATAGGCTACTTGGGTGTGCGGGTGTTTTGTCCACGACCAGTGGCCCGCATGATTGAGAATGTGGGAGGATGCCCTGTTCTCCTAGGTTTGTGTCATATTCACCTATGTTTGGGTATGCATGAAAATTCTTGAATGTGGAGATGGAAGCCTAAATGAGAAGACATGAATGATTAATGAGTGAACTCAGTGATAATATGAAGTCAGGGGGCCAATCTTAGTTAATCTCTTTTGCAGGGTTGGTAGCAGCAGCAAGGAATGTTGAAAGCCTATATGCAGCAGTCAAAGCTCTTGTCTGTGTTGTCCGAAGCAATAAGAATCTCGTCATTGAAATGGACCGTATTAAAGGATATCAGGTGAGGTTTTTATTCATCTACTACATGCTCTTTGCACCATAAGGCAGGGATTCCCAATCTTTCCTGTCTGTAATTGAGAGGACAATGGAAGCTTAGTTTACAAGTTAAGATATCTATGCTTTGTGAAGTGCACTCAAAGTGTGCATTTGGCAGTGTCCTAGCAAAAATGCCTTCCTTTCACTCATTTGGAATGCTGTACTTCAAATTTTTGAACTTGTAATTGAAATAAGGATCTGCCAAATGAATGCTCAGTCACACCAGAGTGGAGGAACAAAAGATTTGACACTATTCTGAGGTCTATCAAGAAACAGATTGCAAAAATGAAAAAAGGGGATTCCCCCAGATTTAGTAGGAAAATACTTGCCCAAAGGTAGTCACTTTATGGACACCCTGTACTTGGTCATTCATCATGAAGGTGGACTGCTAACCTCTCATTGACAGTTATTATGCCCATGCTGCCACCGTGAGACAGCATCTGTAGGGATGGGAGAGCTGAGTTATTGGTTAGCACTTAAAAAGGCATGTATAGCATTTTTAAGTTGGTCCCTGAAAACCATACCCATAAGAAAAAAGAATATAAAGGTGGTGTGCCATGTCTTCCCCCTAGCCACAGAAAATATATATATGCATCTATTTATAAAATGCAAAATATACAGCAATTACAGTTTGCCTGATCAAAATGACCATATATTGTTCCACAGATCTTGAGCTTTCTTTTGTGGAAGAAGCGATCACTCCTGAACAGCCACATCCTTCACCTTGCATTCAGTCTTGTGGGGACAGTAGACAGTGGTCGGGAAACCCCATCAATCCCAAACATCTCAGCCTTCAAGGATTTATTGGCTGATATTGAGGTAGCCTTTTCTAAATATGTTTTCCCTCATGCTGTTTCTTGATCTTTCTCTGTGGGTCATGATTACATTTTTTATTTTGTTCTTTCAGATGTGGCATGAGGCACCAGCTGACTTGGAAAAATCACTCTACGAACACTTCCTGGAGTTGCTGAGGGAATCCTCCGAGCATAGAAACTGGAAGGTGCTGACAGACTGTGGCATTGTCCAGAGACTGCTCCGGGTTTTATATCAAAGTCATGCATCTTTGCCTGAGACTACTCAACACGTCACTTATGCTCTTCTTGCTTCTCTTTTGTACAGACCAAAAGCAGCTGATCTCCTCAGGCATGTATAGCATAGTCACTTGTTCCAGCTGCTAATTCTCTGTCAACCATTGAGCCTACCTTTGGAGGAGTTATTTTGCATAGATCCGAATTGTTCATTTATTCTCTGTTCATAGCTTTGGCCAGTTTGTGGTTGCCACACTACCCATTTTCTCAGTGAGTGAGAGCCACTTGAACCTGAGTGAAGAGATCCAAAGGATGCAAGAAGAAAAAGAAGATAGCAGTTGCTCAAGTGTGATATCTGCACAAAATGTCCTCTTGAGAAACAAATGCCTCTACATCCTCTATGGACTTATTCTTTCTGGCAAAGGCCTGAATCTCCTGTGAGTTACCACATCACCATTATTCTTCTGACAGGTCTTTTTTTATTTTGTACAATACAAGTGTATTGTATAATTTGCATGCTTGCTTCAGCTTCAGCGAGGAGGTTATTAGGGTTCTGGGCTTCGACTGGATTCTGCTGTTCTTGCAAGGACACCTTCATAGTTCTACAGTAACACTCTGTCTTCGAATCCTCACGGCTCTTCTGAGTGATCCAAATCTTCTCCAAAAATTCAGAGAAGCTTCCTGCAATGGGAGTTGGCTCAACGACACAGAGCCCATCGTGGAGAATCGTGTTGGAGTCCTCCTTGGTCAGTTTTCTCTGTTTTTCCCTGCCCCAAGCATGTGAGAGAAGTTAAAATACAACTCACAAAGTCTCTGTATGGACAAAAGTTATAAATGCTATCCCAATGCAATGCCAGAGGGGCATAAAGGGGCCAGACTATTGGCTCAGTGAGATGCAGCTGTCAGGTGGTATCTAGCCTTGTGGAAAGCACCAAGCAAGATATGCCAGGAGTATTTCCTTTTTTTTGGTTGTAGAAAGTGTGTAGAGCAATTGAGGTTCCCCTCAGAATGAAGGAAGTGACAACAATTGCATGTCGCAATATAGTGTGTATGAGTGCATTTGAATATCATTGTGAAATAGGGAGGTGAACCATCGCAAGACTAGGAATCCAGTCCATGTTCAGTTTATGAAATTCACTTTTACATCCCCATTTGAACTTTGCTTACCACTTTTATGCAACTTGTAATTGTTCCTGTGCACCCCCTTCATTTTTGTGGTGAATTTCACTGCCCTGTATGTTTTATGTGACTTGACCAAAAAGTGAATCACCCATTGCATCTCATTTTTGGTGCGCTTCTATTGGGAGGTATCTTAGGGACTATATTGCCAGGATGTGATGTGCCTGCCACATTGCAATTTTGCTATTGCATTTATAACTTGTGTACCTCAGAGACTGAGGTTTCATTTGAACTCCCCCTCATTCTATGACACCAACATAAGATGGTTAAATTTTGTATGGCTTTCTCAATAAGAATGCAAAAGTAATACATCCAGGTTCTTAGAAGTTCTGTATAAAATTAGCAAAGATTGTTCTAACTTCCTAACTAAAAAAGAAGTTGTTTTAAGATCTGCATCTACACCAGAGTGCATCAGTCTCTGGTGTAGATGCAGTAGCTCAAACATTGACTTGATACTAAAATATTCCACCAAGGTCAGGAGCCAAATGAAAAATTATTCTGTGCCCAATACAAGTTTTTTTGTTGTCAAGGAAATGGATTTAGAGGATTACAGAAAGCTCAATAAAAATGAGAGCAGATGTTTTTAGTGGTATATAATGATGATGTCATTAATACATTTGTTGCTTCTTTTTTTATTATCAGAGGATGCTTATTCTTAATGTGGCTGCACTTTTAATAGCCTGTTTCAGTCAGTATAAATACCATTGTCTTCAAAGCATAGTCTGATAAATGTGTAATCATGATACCAAGCAGTCATTGGAGTTTACCTGACTTTGGTCTTAAAACCCCCTTCCCTTTTTGATGAGTTTGCTTTTACTACTAGCCACTCCCATGTGAAAATTTTATTAAGACCATATATGAAATGGCCATATATTTAGCCAGTTTAACTCTTTAATGCATTATTTTTTCTTTTTTAGCAAAAAAGCACATATAGTGCAATTCATATATGAACATACGAAACATATATGGGGTTTGACACAAGTCACATAAAATCATATCAGAATAAAAATACATGCCCCTATACATTTTCATATATTGGCTCATACAAATGCACCATATGTTGTCCATATGTGCCAGTCATATCTATGTATAGTGAGATTACCTGAAACATGCCTGTATCCTAAAAGGCTCCATAATCCACCAAATACTGTATAATCATTCATATGCCAGTTATCATACTTTACTTACTTTCCTTGCAATCAACTCATTTTTAATTGTTTAATTTAATTGCCTTTAATTCCTTTTTATTTTTCATTAGAAGTTCTATTAAATAAGCTTTTGAAGTTTGTCCATACCTGAATCACTTAATTGTCTCAACAGTATTATGAAAAGCCCACTTTCATGAACATTTTTTAATTGTAGCTTTCTGAAATTATACAGGAAGGAAATTTAACTATTGGTATTTTGCACTACCTTTGAGTGATATATCATACTCTGCAAACAGAACAAAATACAACACTGATTAAATAAATAAATGAATAATTTTAGTGTGGGGGTGGATTTGGCTAGTACTAATTACCTAGTACTAATTATCAGCTGAATATTCCAGTTTTGATGATCCTTCAAGAGTAATTATGTAATGTTTAAGACAAATATATCTATAGAATTTGTTCTACACCATTGTATTATCTCTTCTAGATGCAAGGGATGCACCAATCTTTTGCACCCTCCTGGCCAACCTAATGATTATGCTTCTGTTGTTCATTTCACTGGCTCCTTTCTCCTTTCAGCTATCCAGAAAAGATTGTAATCAGAGCCAAGGGTGAATTCCAATGATATTCCTCTTTGACCTTCCTGAAATTTCAGACATGTGGCCTGCATCTTTTCGGAGTATTAAAATGAGAATTCTATCCAAAATCACTAGATAGGCCATGAGGATTTCAGTTTATTTTCACTTGATAATGTACATAACTTCTATGAGCATTGAGATTCATAAAAAATTAGGCTCTGTCTTGGGTTTAGTGCTCGATTTCCCTCCTTGAGGATGGAATAATATACAGTCAGCAGCACAAGGATAAGTTCTCATATAAAAATGGAAAGTTGAGTAATATCTCATATATTTACTAAGTGGGTGTCAGAAGAGGTGAGAAGAAATTTCATCTCTGGGAATACAAGCATGATATCTGCAGATGAGGTCAATACCAGGAAAGGAACCTTTGCATCAGTAAAAAAAAAAAAGTTTGGGGCTCACCTCTGTAGCATGAAATGTTTTGTGAAAAATGGATCTATGTGTAGCTGTATCTGCTCTTGTATTCCCCAATATAATAATAATGTCATTGTAAGATTTGATGGAGACATTGTGTTTTATGATGCCAAATGTGTTGAAGCAAGCTGAAGGAGAAATGTTACTGTCAGAATTCCTTCCTTTCAGGTTTCAATGTTGGATTGCACACCTTGCGATTGAGTGGCCCACGAGAAATAAAAGAAGAAGCCTTCTCTGTGCCTGGATTCCAGATGTTGAACTGGCTCATGCCCAAGCATATCCTCATCAGAGAATCTTACTATTTCATGTGTGCTATCATTCTTGGACTTCCCATTCGAATACTTCCTCCAATTGAAAAAGTACATGAATAATTTGAATGCATTCAGAATTCACATTTCTTTCAAAGATAGAACCTCTCAATGTTTAATGGTTATCTGGTGGTCTTAGTTTGGGTTGGAATCCTTGTGGATGTTCCTGTTTGGGAGTGGTGGCAATCCTGTAAATAATCTCAACAACATGGTGAACATCTGCCCTGATGCTATAATCACATCTCTGCACATGCTGCGAACTCTTCTCAATCCTCCTGCAAACATGTGAGCTGGTCTATCAAAGCATTATGGAAGAAGTTAATAAAGCTTAATCAAGCTTGATTTTTTTGAATACTTCTAGGGAATCAATTGACTGGGTGCAGGACTGTCCTACAGCACTTATCCAGTTCCTCATGTACCTCTATCACAATGTGCCAGAATTCATGCATGCATTTCTTTCAACGGACATCCTTGCAGCTCTCACTTCCACTGTCTTCCCCTTTCAGTATTCTGCACCCAATAGTAGCAGCACACCTCTGGAAGAAATCAAGGTGAATGTTGATCCTGTGGAAGGATATGATGTGACATTCTCCCTTTGAAGCAAATTTTTTCCTTTTTTTTCATTTAGGAAATGCCTGACTCTGTCTTCAAAGCTAGTGTAGAGGTTGTGAAGGAAAAGGAAAGTGGTTTGTCCACCCACATTGCCAAGAAGTATGTGATGGATTTCCTGAGAATGGCTGTGTTGGACTCTCTGTCCCTCCCCATGCCAGGGAAGGGTCCACCAGTAATAGATATGATCCTGGAAACTTTCCCCAATGCAGTAAATCATCAACACCTGAGCCGATTCCAAACTGACCTCCTTGGTTCTCTGATGGACCATTTAGTTGCAGTGGATGTGTTAGCTGATGATGGTGCTGGTTTGCCCTTGCCTGCAGGTGGCAGCCCTTCCCATGTCACAAACAGTGTCTTCTATCTTGCTGCTAGGCTGGTTGACAAGCTTTGGCAAGGCCTTTTTACCAAGGATGCTCAAGAAGTGTTTGATTTTTTGATCAAGATCATCTCCCAAGCTAAGAAACGGAATGCAGGTATCTCTTTGGAGAGCATCTTCCACTCTTTAAATCGCACTGTTCTCTATCTCCTCTCTCGACCTTCCAACCAGCTCAGTGGTCAAATGGTGATTCTTGAAACCATGTACAAGCTGACACTGCATCGAAATATTGTGTTTGGGGCTGGCAATCATGAATTGGAATTCGTTGGGTGCCTCATTTACTGTCTTCTCCAGTTAACAGAGGTGATGGAGGTGAGAACCAGTGCAAAGACAAAGACCACTTGGCATGTGAATCCAAGTCTGGATGACTTAAGAAGTCAAGAGGGCCATCAGACAATGATTGAGGCTACCAATCGAGTGTGGGAAGAACTGTATGTCTGCAAAAAGCCAGCCATTGAGGAAGTGTTTCGTGTCAGCTTTCCATGGCACAGCAAGACCCCTGATCTCCAATCTGTCCGAGACTTGGTTTTTGAAGCTGCTTCAAAAGTATGGATTGCATATGTTGAGTCAGAGAGGAAAAAGTCCTACAAGGCTCCATTTGAACTCCATACACAGATTCAAAGCAAGCTTCAGAAAGTGACGGGGGGTCTTTCAAGACTTGCTAGTCGAACAAAATCAAAAAGAGAAGATACCATTAAGGTGCGGTTTTCAAATGCCTCCAGTTTGGATGTTCAAAGTTGGGTCTTCAACCACATTTCAATTGTGCGAGACTTGGTGGAGTTTAAGCAGAAGCAGTTGCAACTGAGTCGACAGCACATGCAAAAGTATGTACTGGATGACTGGCAAAGAATGGAAAAAGAGGTGACAAGAGAGAGGGGACTATGGGGTCCAATGAATCCCAATCCTTTGAATAAGTGGCAACTGGATATGACGGAAGGACCTTGTCGGATGAGAAAGAAGCTGATTGAGAATGATCTCTTCTACATCCATTATCCTTATCAGTCAGACATGGATCAGGATGATAATAGATTGATAAAATACAAGGTTCCAACTAGCAGTCACAGCAAGCTTTTCTATCTGAAGTCCAAGCCTCAAGAGTTATGTGAGCCTGAGGGGGAAATTACAGAGAAGAGTCCAGAAGGGGATAAGCCACTCCAATCTCCAAGTGCAAAGGAAGAATCAAATGTAGAGACAGATGACAGTAAAAATGAAGCCTTCCAGGGGCTTCAGGGAATTCGTCCTGGAGTGAGCAGGACTCTGACAGAATGGGAGGATGACCAAGAGACTTCCACACCTGAAGCTGGTGATGTCTGCATTGAAGGTCAGACACCTATGCCAGAAGAGAAAGACAATCCTGATAATCAGAGTGTTCTGCGCCTTCTTGAGAGAGGTGAAAAAATTAGTCACATGTTTCGATGTGCCCGAATTCAAGGTTTGGAGACTGTGGAAGGGCTCATCCTATTTGGAAAAGAACACTACTACTTTGTTGAAGGATTCACTCTGCTCCGGACACGAGAAATCCGTGCTATAGATCATTTGCCTTCCAGCCTTCATGATCCCATTGTTCCTAGTGCAACAAACATCAACCAGCCCTTGTTTGGAACTAGACAGTGCTCCAAGTTCTCATATGAAGATATCAAAGAGGTTCACAAGAGAAGATACCTCCTCTTGCCTATTGCCCTTGAAATGTTCTCTGCAGATGGCAGAAATTCCCTTCTGGCATTTCCTCGGGGGGTCAGGAACAAAGTTTACCAAAAGTGCATGTCTGTAGCTACAGATCTGTCAGATGATGCCCAACAATCTGTTGCAGGACAGAAAAGAGGTGCTAACATTGAACAAAGTGCTGGACTTTTCTCTACACTCATTGGTGAGACATCTGTGACACAGAGATGGGTTAGAGGAGAAATTAGCAACTTCCAATATCTCATGCACTTGAATACCCTGGCTGGTAGATCATACAATGATTTGATGCAGTATCCAGTTTTCCCATGGGTCCTTGCTGACTATGAAAGTGATCTCCTTGACCTAACTGATTCTAAGACATTTAGGGATCTTTCTAAGCCCATGGGTGCTCAGAGCACTGAACGTTTGGAACAGTTCAGGAAGAGGTATCGAGAATGGGATGATCCAAATGGAGAAACACCGCCTTATCATTATGGGACCCATTATTCATCTGCCATGATTGTTTGCTCATATCTTGTCAGAATGGAACCCTTCACACAACATTTTCTTCGCCTTCAGGTTAGTTTCACCATGCCAGTGAGCACTATCTTGAGTCTGGGTGATGTTTGATTCAATCTGTTGCATCCTCTAGGGAGGACACTTTGACCTGGCTGACCGAATGTTTCACAGTATCAAAGAAGGTTGGCTTTCTGCTTCCAAGCATAATATGGCTGATGTGAAGGAACTCATTCCAGAATTCTTCTATCTGCCAGAATTCTTGCTTAATTCGAATAGGTTTGATCTTGGTAAGTCCTGGATGCCAAAGAATATCTGTTCATCATGGGCTTTGCTAGAATATACCAGCCAATACCAGTTTTGCTGTTTTGGAAAGGAAATAGCTAAGTCAATTCATCAGCTATATCAACTGAGGGCAATTATTATTCCAAGCCTTTTTTTCTCTTTATTTCAGCATAAATTTTGTAGCTTTTTTGTTTTTTGTCAAAAGTTACAGCATCTGTGAGTTAATGCAACTAAAGGCAGCATAAAGTAAACTATTTATTCCATTGCTAAAGAACAATAAGAAAATGCTTGGGCTGGGCACTGCATAATGATCAGACGTCAGACATAAATGTAAGGAATTGGTCTATGCGTTGGCTGAAATTTCCATATTGACTAGTCCTGGTGCACTAGCTGACTTAACCCTTTAATGCTTTTTTTTTTTTTCTTCAGCAAAAAAATCTGGTAGATTTCACTCACGTCCAAGAACACAGGTCAAGTGGAAAAAACTTTTAAAAATCAAATTTGTAAGCAGTAGGCCTGAAAATGCTATTGTTGGTCATTTTTTACAAACAGCATTTTCAGCTTTCTATTCCACACTGCATGGATGATAGAGTGCTCAGTCAGTCCGTCAATATTCATATATACACATAAGAAAATATAAAAATATGGATGAGCCTGGACCCTGGATTAGTGTAAAGTGTAAGAAAATTAAATAAAAATCGTTAATCTCCCATATAAAGAAGCCAGATCAGTTTTAATTTGCTTGCCACCAGGACCTTTAGCACCTAGTGACGGCATAGTTGCTAGGTATAAGGACCGGGCTGTTGCACATCTGCTTTGAGCAGATTTACCTCAGGAGCTCACTACCTGCACGTTCTAAAAATGTTTATTTTGTACGTAACATATCTGCTACATCATGCATTAAAGGGTTAATTCAGTATTGCCAAATTGATACTTCAGCAAATTATTAAATATAACAGCATTGATGATATTTGGCTGATGCATCAGTACACTCTTGTCCTTGGCACTGATTTTGACATTTGTGATCCCATGAAAGGAGCAAAACAGAGTGGTGTGCAACTGGACGATGTGGTTTTACCTCCTTGGGCAAAAGGAGATCCAAGGGAATTCATTCGCATGCACAGGCTGGCCCTGGAATGTGATTATGTCTCTCAGCATCTTCACCTTTGGATTGATCTCATCTTTGGTTTTAAACAGCAAGGGCCACCTGCTGTTGAAGCCACAAATGTCTTTCATCATCTCTTTTATGAAGGCAATGTTGATATATATAGGTACTCCCTGGGACATCATTCATTTCCTTTTCAAAACTCCCTCTGTTCAATTATGATTTCACATTTTATGATTTTCTCCATTTGAACCACAGCATTGACGATCCCCTTAAAAAGAATGCAACCATTGGATTCATCAACAATTTTGGACAAATACCGAAGCAGTTGTTCAAAAAGCCTCATCCATCCAAGAAGGTTCCAGGGAATCGTGTGTCCATCATTGAGCCAGGTCCTGTGACTCCTGGTTTTGGGATGAGTTCTGGTGACAAGCTGTTCTACCACAATGTTAGCAATCTTCGTCCAAGCATGTCTCCTGTCAAAGGTAATGTATAATTTTCTCATTCTTTCTATATTTCGTTGTCATCTCAGGCTCAGTACTCTCATACCTACTTATTACTTGACTATTGCAGAACTGAAGGGATCTGTTGGTCAGATCATTGCCACTGAGAAGATGATCCTTGCTGTGGAACAAAACAAGGTCCTAATACCGCCACACTTCTCACGATACTATGCTTGGGGCTTCGCAGACCAGAGTGTCCGCATTGGAAGTTATGACTCAGACAAGGCTTCATTTGTCTGTGAAACCTGGCTGAATGGAGAAGTCCTGTCTGCTACATGTCCCAATGCAAAGACTTTCATCACTGGTGGTACCAGCACTGTGAGTGTTTCTCTCTTTCTAGGGGCCATACTGGGAAATCTGTTCTGCAGTGTATGACAAAGAGTAGAACATCCAGGTCCTGATGATAGGCAAGTTAATGCCTCTGTATCCTTGATTGCTGAATGGGATTCTATGAATTGCTGTAGGTGGTGAATGTATGGGACTTCAGCAAGAAACGCATGGTGCTCAAGAAGAGTTTATATGGTCACACTGAAGCTGTGACTGCTGTGGCCTCTAGCCTTGCTTACCAATTGATTGTCTCTGGTTCACGAGACCGCACTGCCATTGTTTGGGACCTTTCAAGGCTCACTTTTGTGCAGCAGTTGATGGGGCATATTGGCCCAGTTGCAGCTGTTGCCATCAATGAATCCTCAGTAAGTTTGTAAAATAATATGAATTTGTGCTGCTTGTCTTTTTATTTGCCTTCATATGTTGAGATTCTCTTGACATTACTGCCTTGGAGTTGACTTATTCGGAAATGTGTTTATTCTAGGGAGATATTGCAACTTGTGCTGGTACCTGTCTTCATTTATGGAGCATCAATGGTGATCCTGTTGCAAGTATTAACACTTCCATGGGTAGTGGTCTGGAAAAGCCCCAGCAGATTCTGTGTGTTGGCTTCTCCACACTCAATGAATGGGACAGTCAAAATGTGATTATGACAGGTTCCAGTGATGGCATTGTCAGGGTCAGTATGAGCTACCTGATCAGTCTTGCTTGCTTGAAGGTCAGATCCATTCCAGCCTGTTTCATCGCTTGTTCTCTTGCTGTCTTTTCTAGATGTGGTCTCTAGAATATGTCCAGGTGCTTGACAATACTGAGACAAAGAGTGAGTCTGGCCAAAATGCTTCAAATCTCCTGTCTGTCCCTGAGCATCCAAGTTCATATTCTAAAGAGTCCCAAGCTGACTCACTGTCAGAGTTTGAGGTTGAGCATGGAGAAGAAGTCCATGAGAGCAATCCCCCTGCTAATGGTAAATGGACTGTATTTACTATATAACATTTATTGAGTTGCATTTGAAAGCCATTGAGGGATTTGTGCGTTCAGACTTTTCCAGGAGCAGTTCAGAGGCAACTTTGTCAGGAGATGAGGGGAATGGGTTGGGAGATCAAGATGACAACACTGGACAAGGGAGAGACAGTGAAGAGAAGCAGGCAAAGATTGGAAGTAATATGCATGTTTCTCAACGATTACAAAGGCAGGAGGCTTTAGAGAGTGTTGGTAGCCAAGGAAGCCCTGACACTTTTAGCACAGAAGATTTCCAACCAGAGGCCTTCTCTTCTCCCAATGTCAGTGAGAATCCCTTGGTGAAAGCCAAAAATCCAAGCGAGAACATATCTGATGGAACAGATGCCATAGGACAATCCAGTGTGAGACTAAGTAAGAGTGACACCAACATTTCAGATTCTTTTGTAGTCATTTCAGACAGTGAAATCAATGAAATCAAGAAGGAGCAAAAGAGAAGAGATTCTATCCTCAGGGAAGGTGAGGCTGTAAATTTATCTCAAGAAATCACCTCAACAGCTTATAAGTTAAATGTATTTATCTAATGTTTTGTTTCTTATCTAGGACACAAATGGGAATGTCAGCTGATCTTCAGAAGCAAGTTGACCATGCACACTGCCTACAATAGGAAAGATAATACAGAGCCAGCTGCTGTAACAGCTCTTGCTGTGTCCAAGTGAGCATTCATCCTGTGATTCCTTGAAATATGCTGGAATTTATTTAACCCTTTCACGCATAGAAGTCCATTGTAATGGACACAACGTTAACTACATATGGGCCCAGAGGTGGCTTCACTTTTATGACTCAAGTGCATGCTTTCAACTTCAGTGCACAGATATCCATTGGATGCCACTGATATTTAATACATGTTGTGGGAAATAGCTGGTGAAAAGAAGAATATGTGATGCATTACTCCCACCATAGCGTTGCATGGAAAGAAGAGACTGGTAGTTCAGAAAAAAAAATTCAATAACAATTGTTTGTGTGATTTGAAGGCTGTAACAAATTATTTTTCTGTTAAGAAATGCTAAGTAAAGCAATTTTTCAATAAGTCGCATGTTTCCAGCACATTATTGCGAATGTAAAGGTGAATATATTAGTGTTCACTACAGTGGACACCATGCATTTGTAACTTTTAAGGTTCTATGAGATGCAATTTCCCTGCCCTCCCTATTCATTACTTATGAAAACAATTGAAGCTCTTGAAGATTTTCCTCGTGACTCTGAATAGGGAGAGAGTTGACGTTGACGTTGAGTCGACACACATGATGAAATATTGGGCTTAGACGATGGCCATGTTCCTCAACAAAAGTAGGTCTAAGCGTGTAGCTCAGGTTATCTATCCGGCATTGAGTTGTGCCAAGGCGGTCTTGGAGGGCGTGACCCTATATCAGCTTTTGGGATGTGGGTTGACATGGTCCTGCACCTCAATGATGATATGAGAGACAATAAACTTTTTTTTCTAAAGGTTATCTTTCAGTAACTAAGTCACTTCCCCACCACGGCTAGAAGAGATCGCAACCGGCACCATCCTTGCCAATCGACTGCAGTCAAGTTTTCCCTTCCAAGAAAGACATGAGAAGAAATGGGCATGGCACGTCAACATGTGTCTCAACTTGGGACAAAATCAAGGTCATTTCCCAAACTGAAGTGCAGGGCCGTAGTTAGGACTCCCAAGGAAGTCATGCATGCTACATCGTGGCATCACACGACGTGTCATGCAAAGATGAAACAAAATACAAACGTGTGCAAATAGATTTATTTGCATGGAAAGTTTCCATACTATGTATGGAAATGCTATTACTCATTTGCAAGTCTTGCACATGATTTAACACATGAAACTGCCAAAATATTATGGGCCTGTAATTGAGATTTCCAAAAGCTTTGTATATGTCATTAAAAGCAAAAGTGCATGGTGTCCATTATAGTGGACAAAATTGTTTTGGTTCTGTGATTTCAGGAAAAAAATGTTTATGTTTATGAACAAAAAGGTGTTTAATTCATTAAACAGAACCAACAAAAAAATCAAAAGACCTGAATTAAAATCTTATCATAATTAATTCATGAAAGGGTTAATGTTTAATGATTGGTGGGTTGCAGGGACCACCGAACTGTGTATGTGGGTGATGCCAGGGGCCGTGTCTTCAGTTGGTGTGTCACAGATCAGCCAGGACGTGCTATGGCTGACCATTGGACTAAAGATGAGGTTGTGGATGTTTGTACTGGGTGCCATGTGAGATTCTCCATCTATGAGCGCAAGCATCACTGTCGAAATTGTGGACAAGTCTTCTGTTCCAGGTATGAATTCTATGTGCTCTTCAGTTATATCAAGGCTCAGGGCATGTCATAATTGTAAGTCAGATGAGTCTGCCCATGTATGGTATAGTTCGGTTTTCTTCCATCTGAAATTGACTCATGATACCTTTTTTCTATTTTTTTCAGATGCAGTCACTATCAGTCAGAAATCTCACGTTTGCGTATCTTCAGGCCAGTGCGGGTATGCCACACATGCTATGAGCATTTGAGGTCTTGAAATCTTCAGCACACCTGATAAATTCCCAATGTATATGTAGTAGAAACTTTCTCAGTATTTCATGCCTGGTGGGCAGTCACCTTTGGCTTGGGCCAATTTGTCATTTGGCATGAGTCAAATCTAAGCTGAAGTCCTAATCTAAAAGGTTTCATTTTATGCATTGCGCATAGTTGAGGTGTTAAGCAAAAGGTGTATAAGGTGAACTTGTTGGATCCCAAGAATACAACAAAAGCACTCATACAGACATTGAGACATGGAAACTGTTATCCTTGATGACACCACGAGAACATGTAGTAATGTTCATGTTATGCTTCCTTCTATGCAAGAGTGAATTGGTCTCTGTGAATGTTTGATGGATTCCAGTAAAATCAGGGACATTCTCTCCCACACCCTTGTCAGTTAGTATGTGATACCATCTTTCACTGCTGAGCTTTTCTAGGTGCCTCAGTGAATTGGATCATTTAGCACATTTCTAGTCACCTCCACAACAGTAAAATGTTTCTCTCCATATAGAAGAGTGAATTGGCAAAAGAATGCTGGGCTACGCTTTCTCATCCTGATTTCCTTCTGTCATTCCCGTAGGCTTAAATGCAAGCAAAGAAGAATCCTGATTGTTTCTGTGATAGTAATATGTGCCCCTTAATTTTTTAAAGCTTTGTTAACCTGTCCCAGCAGTGGAGGTAAATTTTTATGTCTCATCCTGTGATTTTTATACATATTTTATTTGTCTGATTTTCATTACCTCATTCCAGATTATTGAGCCCTTCTAATAACTTATGCTTTTTTTTTTTAGCACTAAGAGTTTCTATGTGTGAAATGAATTGTTTTTGTCTAAGACATGTGTGATTCCTGTATGGCATACTCATTGCCATCAATAAATATTTCTGAAATCAGATCAAATATTCTATATAGCTGAAGTCAGAGAGAATTCTGTACCTACTCACAGTGCCAGTATTTTACCTATTTTTTTCTTCTTCATTATGAGGATGAACTTTGGAGTCTGTCTCCCTGTCATCTTTCAATCTCGATCCGGCCTTCCGCCAAAATAAATCTCACGAGAAGTGAAATTCAGAATTATGTATTTTATTGATTTTGGTTGTTTCATACAAGATCTAGATTTTTTCATCTCATCAATGAATGGTGTTTTATGACCAAGTATGGAATCAACCTGATTGTACAGTAATTAAAAAGGAAGTGATTTGCAAGAGGTGTTATCGTGGTTTTTCTCGAGGTACATATCGGCAGGGGCATCAGCATGCTAATGTTCTCTATATATCTGGGAAATGTCCAGATGGGAGCATTCCGTGGGATTCAAAAGCGGGTGATTCCCTCAACAGGTAACGACGGGAGGGTTATGCTAGAAATTGAGAATCGGCCCAACCCCAGCTGGGCTCATCGATTTGAGATCAGTCATGGAGCGGTGTCTCCCATGCCACTTACCATACTGATTTAAATACTGATGGAGAATACTGTCCAGGTGGAAGAGAAGTAGGATGAAAGCGTAGTACTGCATAGGATTAATTGTGGACCTTTGTCAGAGCCAAGAGAATCATGGTCAGTTCTCTGCGATTGATTTTCCCATCGTGGTCTACGTCACAGCCTCGCATGATCATTTGCTGGAGTTCCAGCAGGTCGTCGGCCGTGTACGGCTACAAAAGAGAAGCCGATAACCAGCCGTGAGGATTTGAGGCTCAGGGATGATGGAAAGAGGACATCTTATATAGTACATACCTTCTTGGCTTGGTCCAACAAGTCCTTGAGGAGTCCCCGAAGCTCGTCGCTCTCAATAGCTCCACTCTTATCCTACCAGGAGAGCATTCGTTGCCTGATACCCATTGCAGACAAGACAAATTTTCGAGCACTCTTCATCTTTCGCTTTTCTGGATTGCCGTTTCACAGAGTAATGTTGAATTTAGGCTTGGAAAGGAACAATGTATTCTGCCTAGCAGCAAACTTCTTTTTTTTTTCGACCACCGCGCCCTTTTTAAAATACAAAAAGAATCTCTTTCAGTTATTAACTATTGAACTAACAAAGTTTGAATCATACCCAGATGAAAAATGTGAAATTAACTTTTGCTGCTGCATATAAACGTATATGTCATTGAGAGTTTACCATTGGTTGCGACTGCAGAGACGCCTTCAGAACCTTTTTTTATTCCGTGCCTAAGCGAAGAAGGGGAAGACCGTGAATTGCCGCATCGTTTCACCTGGGACGATTACGAGATAATCTATTTCGGTGCAGAATTTCCCACTTCGGGCTCTTGAATATTTATTGCTTTTAGCGAGTATTCTCGAAATTTTGCCTTGTCTACGACTTTTTTTTCTTAATATGACAAGTACAAGCATCCAACACAAATTGCATTCTACACTGTCTAAAAGAAAAAGAAAAAAGGAAGCCGGGCTTCTTTTTTTTATTTTTAAGGAATATCTTCATCCAATATCGAGCCTCGTGGAATTTTTTCACGGCATTTCAGATGAATAAGGAAGACTTCTGCTTAGCTTTTTTTTTAAATGTTTCCTCTCGTTCCGCAACGAAAAAATTTTCCAAAGCTGAAGTATCGAAAATCTTGGTGAAGGCGCAATGTGCACCCCGCACCCTAACGTACCCGCATCACACGCATAATAAAATGTGAGGAGTTCTCTAAAAACTGATTTCACAATTGTGACTGCCTGCCTTCTTGGCCCAGTCATGTTTGAGTCTGCCAAAGTGACGTACCTGGCAAGTAGCAGCGCACAGATTGTACTTTTAAATTGTCGAACAACTTTGGAAAATCATTGCATATGAAGCAGAGTTTTTTTTTTCAACTTGTCATAATTCTTTATTCATCTGAGGCGTCTTGTGCAGAATACGAGGCTTGCACGATAGCGGATGGAGATATTTTAAAAAGAGGTAAAACAAAGCAAAACAAACAGGTTTTCCTTTTATTGAGACACTGCATTCTACTTCCACAATGAGGCGTAAGTCAGCACGTACCCTGTCGTACATCTCGAAGATTCTCTCGATGTCTTCCTTCCCGAATCCATTTGTTCCCTTGCATTATGCGAAGAGAACGAGAGGGCTTTCAGATCGTCTTAGTGGTGTAACGAGGTTTGGTCAAATAAGAACGTGGTCAACCCACCAGGATTTCCTTCAGCTTCTGCTGCCCGAAGAAATTCTCTCTCACCGGAAGCAATCTACAGCGGGCGAAGGAAGGCACACATTATTCGAGGCAACTGCCCATATTTCAACTTAAATTCTTGATTAATCGTTCGGGAGGCGATGGACGGGGACTCACTTCGCCATTTCGCTAAGCTGGAGCTTCCCATCTTTATCGGTGTCGAAGACGTGCAGCTTGTAATGAGAAAAGGATCCCACATAGCTAAGGGGAAGACAGGACTTCAATTGCTCGGAAGATTGATGGGAATTGGGAGATGAATCGGAATTTGCATATTGGCTGAATCTGACAGGAAGTCAACTGTGTATACGGGGTCCTATATCCAGGACGCATTGAATCTTGGGAAACCATTAGAGTTCTCCCTTTGGAGCCATTTCTCATAGGGCTCCTCTCTCTCCCTCCTTTCCTCTCTCCTTTTGTGTCGCGGGCTTTTCGCATTCCAAGGCTGGGATCATTCCCTATATGGCACTGATCCGAATACGAAATAAGAGAGGGAGAAAAAGACCGCAGGAAGACGCGTCCATTCCTGTCCCCTTTCCCGGAAACTTTAATTCCCTTGATTCTGGGCGATTTATATAGCTCAGCAACGATAGGATACTGAAGACGGCAAAGCCGACATGGGATACCGGTTAGGAATGACGACCGTAATGGTAAGTAGGTACAAGTCTCTAACTTGGAAGACACGCAAACCCAGGCAGGCATGACGCATCCACTCTCATTCCCTGCTCCCCCTTTCTCGTTTGTATCTTCTGGAACTCCCCTCCCCCACCCTCACCCCACCCTTACCCCAGGACTGTCTTGCAGAAATGGAAGCCGTAAGTCTCGCATCTCCTTTCCCCCCTGGCTCGTCGATGGAATTACACTTGGTCACGACAACCGTGAAAAACTCACAATGGAATCCGTGTATTCTTGCAGCTTCGCATCGGATACTTCCGCCATCTTCTTTGCTTCCTTCAACAGATTCCGCAGGAAATTCTGCGAAACAAGGGGAGGAAAATACATCACGTTTTTTCGTGTTTTGCAAGATAGGAAGCTCTCTTCTATGGATGGCTTTTTTTTCCCCCTATCTTTCTTCCCCCCTTCGTTCGGCATGCAACCCCGCGGCGCCAACTCGGTGGAAGCTGGCATGGTGCCTAAGTGTACAAAGCTTGACGGGAGACCTCTTTTTTTCATCTTGGCAGGTCTTCATTTAAGAGAACTGCTGTAGGTAGTCATGCGCATTTTCCCGGAAGATCTCTATGTAATAATTTATCATTTAAAAAAAACTGGAGTTTATTAACTCGATTCCGAGTTTATTTCATCCCAGCCGCTACGGATGAAACCGGAGTCGACGATTCCCCGGAACCGGCCTTACCTTGAGCTCGTCCTTCTCGATAAACCCGCTGTTATCCTTGTCGTACTGCTTCCACACCTGCAACGAAACGTGGGACATCAGTTTTAACGCTCGATCGTGCTCGATCGCGCTCGATCGCGCTCGATCTCTCGCTTCGTCCGAAAGTGGAGGATCCCTTACTCGCATGAAATCCACGCTGGATTCGAGGGGATTGTCGAAGCGGAAAAGCAGCAAGAAGTTCTCTTCCATGGGGAGAAGTTGAGCCAGCTGTAGAAGAAAGGACGTTCGGTTCCCTTTATCGCCCAACTTGGGAAATCGAAACGAGGAAGGACAAAAAGAGAGAAGGGCGAGACAGACCTCTCTGATCTCGATCCTTCCATCCTGGTTATCGTCGTAGGCCTCCATGAAGCATTCCTTGAGCTGCTCCAGCATGGCATCAGGAACGCTCTGCTCGAGTCCACAACAGCTCTTCTATTGTACATACAAGTATGGGCACGGGCTCTACCATATCGATAAAGGGCTCCATCGACGTCTCTTCTAATATGCTGCATGGGTGGGGCTGAGGATTACTGATGTAATCAAGGATATGCAAGGGGTGTGTTTGGTGTGCATATACCCGCGGGTCTAGGATCTGCGATACGATTAATCTGATTTTTCTTCTGCCAGAAGAGCCGGGAGGTGGCAATATCATGCAGTAGCTTTTTTTTCCTCCCGGCGCCTATATGATGTCCTTTCCACGCTGCGTCCATCCTTCTCTCCTCTCCCTCGAAATTGCTTTTTTATTTTTTCTATCCGCCTCGCCCCCCCCCCCCTTTTTTATTTCTGGTCATTTTTCCCCGCTTCGTTGAACGTGCACGTCATTAATCGGTTTGCGTGTCTGATGGACTGAAAAAGTTCCTCGTGACTTGAGCTACTCGAGCATGACATGTGTTTGTGCTATATAAAACTCTGCGTGATTTCCTGGAAGGTTTCCCTCACCCGCTTTCTTGCCCGTATAAAAAAAAAGTGGATACGTCGTTTAGACTTGCGATACCCACCATGGGATTGACATCAGGTGCGTTCACACTGGAGACGAACTCTCGAAGGAAACTGTCCAATTCGGATCCCTCGATGTAGCCATTCCCTGGGAACAAGCAACGGAGAGCAACAATCGATATAAATAACTTTGTTCTTTCTTTTTTTTCGGCGCGGAAGCCTTAGTAAGGCCTCACCGTCGGCGTCGTAGTGATTCCATATCTCCATGAATTGAGCCGCCGTGAGCGTGAGCAATTGACGACTTTGTTCGTCCCGGAATTTCCGTAGGAAATTTCGAGGCGAGGTTTCCTCTTCTTCGGACATGGCAGCAGATCTAAAAGAATACAGAACAGAAAATATTTATAAAAAAAAAAAAGGAATTCCCATGGTGAAAGGGATTCCCCGAATTTTTTCGTTCGGATCAGGGGGTCATACTCCTCAGAGCAATCCATCGGACGAGGAATCACGCTCAATAGAAAGAGGGAAAAAAAAAAGAAGTCATTGAGAAAGGGAATGAGGGGTGCAATCCATCTTCCTAGCCGGTCTGGGCAACTCTGACATGCGAACTCCTCTTCCCTCAAGCGATGAGGAACCTCGGTCTCCTCGGCAACCGGAACATACGCGATAAAAAGGGCGGCCGAGGACTGAAGGGGTATCTCGCGTTGGCCTGGATGAGCATCTTGCGTTGGCCTGGATCCGAATGTTGGAGCCTGCTTGCCAGAACCCCATTATAATCTAGTTTCGTCCTTCTGCTCCAGTGCCATGCTCTGTTTATTCGATTTCCGGGGGGGATAAGGGAATTTTGGTAGGGAAATAGGCTGGAACCACGGAACCCGGAACATGGGCTTCAGAGTTCAGACACTGAAAACCAGTGATACTTTTGTTCGACGAAGGACCGAATCGGAAATTCGACTTCGTGTTCGAGGTCCACAGATGTTACCGAAGGTCGTGCGAACCCGTTCATTAACGAGCGGCACGAAAAAGGCCCATCTGATGTGTGCAAAGTTCAGTCACGCTGAAAACAGCGCCCCACCCGAACCTTACACGCTGCAGCATTTTAGAATAAGAGAGCAGCGGCTCAAAACCAGCTGCGGGGGAGTTGCTGAACTACATACAGTGTGTTCGTATTTAAAAGTAAATTTTGCCGCCGCTTTGTGGAGTTCAGTGAGTGCCTTATAGCCCACCGTGATGAATATCTGGAAGGATGAAAGCAAACGCTGATGTGTTTCCTTGCAGGTATGCAACCCGGTGGGTCTTATAGCGTTAGCCGAACTCCGCATGCAGGCGGCAAAATATTTCCTATGTTGCGCTTAAGTATGTACACCCTGTACAGTGTGGGTCAAAAGTATTGCAACACTGGAAAAATTCATATCATACCCCTCCAAAGAGTGCGATGAAACTAATTCATTTACTTATGTAATCTCCCTTCATATACGAGGGGTGATTAAAAAGTTCTCGGCCTGAGGCACTTCCAGTTACAGTACACCATTCTTACTTTCCTTACGAGAAGACTTTGATGGTGATTGGCAAATTTTCATCTCATTCGTCGACTAAATATAGCTTCCATTAATTTTTTTTCCATGAAAGGGTATCAAAATTGAGAAGAATGCCACAATTAATTTTCTCATCTCTAAGGAGTCTTTTTTTTTTCTAGCTGATCTGGCAGAGTAGGGTCACTAGGACTTCATCCTCTCTGCTACTTAAAGATCTGCCGAAAGATTGACTCCTTGGAGGCAAGAATGTCATCACAGCATTCTTCTCAAGTTTAATACCCTTTCAGCAGACCCTTTGGTAGCACATGGGAAAAAAATTACGGAAGCTATATTTAGTCGACGAATGAGATGAAAATTTGCCAATCCATGCATTTTTGAGTTTCTGGGTGAGCTGCTTGAAGCCAGCGATTTTCAAATTGGATTTCGGTCTGGGCTGTTGCCTGGTCACTGACCCTTCCCCCAGAATGCTGGCAGGTTCTTCTGACACCAGGCGACGGTGATTTTGGAGGCATGACAAGGGGCATTGTCATGCATGAAGATGGCCTCACACCTTTTTTCAACCGAGTACTCTTCCAGAATCGATCCTCCTGTGGTCATCCTGTTAAAGGTATCAAGGCAGGGCTTGTGGAGGATGTTCTACATATAAGAAATTGTGCTCATAAACTGTTTTGGCGGGATCACACGCGGCTCTGAGTAAGCCCGATGAGAGAACCCCCCCCCCCCCCCCACGATCCTCAGTGGGTGCCTGACTGTGGCGACGGGAGGGGAAAAGGCGCAGTTTTTGCTCCAGATCCTGTCACACTGTGGGTTGAATGGCAGGAAAAGCTGAAGCGCAGATTCATCTGGCCATACCACACGTTTTCAGTCTTCACTAGTCCAGTATTTGTACTCCATAGCAAACTTCAGATGCTTCTCCTTCATGGCGTCCATCAGGAGCTTCTTGGGCCCCATTTTTAATATTGCATTGGACTGTTACGAAAGAACATTTTTTTTTTACCTGGAGGTAATTTTCCTGCTGGACATGCCTCTTTTCCCGAGACTTTTGCATATTATCATTTTTGCGGAGGTTGAAAGGACTTTTGGATGTCTCGGACGAACCCCGAATCAGAGCCCCTTTCTGGACTTCAGGCGTTTCCACCACGGACTGACGCTCGTCGAATGCACTCCAAGAATCCTCCAAGAACCTCCAAGAATCCTCCAAGAATCCTCCAAGAAACCTCCAAGAAACCTCCCTCCATGATTTCCCGGCCTCGATCATGCAGATGGCTTTCCGCCCGGACCCCCGAAGACAGCTCGTGGACCTTAGTGTCGTTTCGTGTTGATCCCAAGCAAAGTCAGCATTGGACGAACACCGTGCAGCGCATTCGCTCGAGTTACATCTCACTAACTGTATCGTTGGAGTGTCCTTGAGCTGTTTAAATTATGGCAGGAAACATAATTTAGGGACTGCAAACCATTAACCTAGTTCGCTCGAGTTGCAATACTTTTGACCCATACTGTATATTTTATGTTCATATTCATTTTAACAAGTTGTAGGCACGAATATATGTTTTTTCTCGAGTGACGACACCCAAAGGGCTGCAAAATCGCTCTCTGGGGACAGGCTGCGTATCGCTGCTGTATGCAGAGTATCTGGAACAATACCATGCCTCTTCTTTCGTTGGTTTCTTCCTGTCTGAGAGCTCTTCAAGCCGGCCCTTCTACGAGATGGAACGATTGGGGGCAATACGCGCCATATCCAATTTATAACCAATGAGATTCGGCTTGGAGTCGCATCTCGAGAGTCGATGGTATTTCATTATATGGCGCGGAGAAACGACCTCTGCGCTCGCGTGACGTCATGCAGTCTCTCGCTAAAGAGAAAAGGAGGCATCAGATGTTTCTCCCATGCGACATTTGCCTTCCGTGTTTACAGGATCATTGTCAGCCGTCTTTACTCGCGAGAGGATCCTCTTTCAGAGGACTCTTCTTTCGGTCCTCGCAGCATCGATGGTCCGTACCGCTGGCCGTTATTACGTATCTCTGGCCGTTACGTCGGACCGCTGGCCATTACGTCGGACCGCTGGCCATTGCAGCGGACCGCTGGCCATTACGCGGCAGACGTTCGTGAAGCACCAGGCAAAGTGATTCTCCATCCTCGGATCGGCCACGCACCGTGAAGACAAAGGGGGTTCTTATTTGGGCTCTGCGTGATCTCGGAGCCGGAGAGAGGGAGGACGGGCCCATGTCTAATTGCATAGCGAGGATCATCAACTTGTTTAGAAGACGCCCTCGTATTTTCCGCATCGAGGAAGATCCACTGTTGGATCGAATCCTGCCACGCGGACGATGATGCGGAGACACGCAGACCGGAGGAGAGGAGATGGGCCGGAATCGATGGGGCCCATTAGATCCCGTTTTTGTTTCTTCCACCGCGTAAATTGGGTTCAATCGATTGCCCCTCGATCGGCCCTACTCGATGGAGCTTTTAGCGAAGCTCATCCCATTAGGGGGCTCTTTGGTGGGAGCAATATACCTGGGCATTAGCGTGACGGAAGCCGGGACGAGAGATCGTTATATCATCGGCAGTCGATGAAGGCCCTCACCTCCTTCCGATGAAGGCCCTCACCTCCTTCCGATGAAGGCCTCACCTCCTTCCGAGTAATCTCGGTCAGACGCTCTCGGGGAATTCCTGGACCTCGTAAATAGATTATTCTTTTTTTTTTCTCTCTCACTCCCTTCCGTTTTACGGTCACGCTTGGCATGAAACCAATTCCGAATGTAGAACGTCATGATCGTATCGGTGAAAGAGAATGAAGGAAAGCGGCGAATTCCGTTATTTCGTTAAATTTCTACAAGTTTCGCGAACGAATAACGGAATCGCGATCGCGACGCGTCTATTAAACCCCGCGCCGCGTGTCGCGTAAACGTGAACCGAAAGCGTTTTCGCTTGCCGTTCCCGTGGAATCACCGAAAATTGTGGCAAGGGACCAAAAGGGAAACCCGATCACCTGGAAATCATTTTAAGGCTCCTCGGATGTGGATTAATTTCAATTGCGGTACCGGTTGCGATTTGACGCAATCAAAAGTTCATGATTTCTGCTTAGTTTCCCCAGTATTTTATTAGGAGTGAAAAAGCCCATGCACGCACGAGGTGAAACAAGTCGAATAAAAACATTTCAGCTCTTTCATCGGTTGACTGTGACTCCGGAAAGTCTTTTTTTTCGCGGAAAGTATTTTTTTTTTGCACGTTCGGTAGATTGCGCCTCGGATCGATTTAAACCTCCCCGCCTTTTTCTAGGCATTTTAAAAGCAACCCCAAAGTCGAAATAGTAATATTGAGACTAAATGCTGCCGACTCGCGTGAAGCATCGTGGTGAACCGGCGACGATGAAGACAATTGACTTTGACACACGAAGATAATTGCCTGGAGTTGTCATAGCAACAACAACGTCCGTATCCGACGTTGCCTCGTCCTCTCATTGTCGGTTGCGAAAACTTCGCCCGGGAAGGCATTCAGCGCGAAGCTATTCTTATCGCCGAAGTCGGTCCCAATTACTTCAAGATCGAGAAAATGGGAATGGAAAGATTTTTGTCCAGGAAGTATCGCCTCCAGGTCGTAAGCCTGGGATTGACAGCTCAATCGTGAAAATCCGTTCATCCGTCTTGGAGTCTTCCGGAAGATTAGCCTCTTGTGTACCGCGTATTATGGATTTGCCCGGGAAAAGGTCTGGACGAAGGGCTTCAAACCTGTGGAAATATATCGAAACTGCGAATTTATAACGGTCGCTGTGCTCGCATTTCATGAAATCCCCTGAAATGTCACGAAACGGCGAGCGATGCCGAGTCCCACATTTTGCCGACGACTTGCGTTCGTACAGAAAGAAAGGGCTTGCGTTACTCGTCGTGCCTTCGTTTTTCTTATCGAGTTCGCCTCCCCATTCCCCTTGCAAGCTATCAGTCTACTGATTCCAATCGCACTAGAATTTCCCGCGAAGGAAGGAATACCGATTTCGTTGCGTGAACGATCGCGTCGCACCCCCCTCGTTTCGTCGGCCACCTCTCGCGGGACGACCGTCGTCGTTCGCCCGACCGCAATCGTCTTACCTTCGGAGAAGCGAGACGAATCACTGCAGAGAACCGCGGCGGCAGCGAGGCGGGAATGGAGGGTGGAGGATGGAGGAATGCGAACGGATGGAGGAATGCGAACGGGTGGAGGATGCAGGAATGCGAACGGATGGAGGATGGAAGAATGCGAACGGGTGGAGGAGGGGCGGGCGTTTTCCCTCCTCTTTCGACCTCGCGCCGCCGCCCTCCCTTATCAAACTCTTTCGCAGCCTCCTTTTCGATCCCTCAACGAAAGACGACAACGAACATAATGTCGTGCAATTCGTTAACTGATCTTCCCTGAGAGATTATCCATCTCGAGATCGTCTTCCCTCCGGTTTGCCTTCCTAGAGCAGGAATGAAATTTTAATCAGCGCCGCTCGTGCGCATTAATACTTGCCCCTGAGAGACGGAGAAAAATCGCAATACCGCGTCTCTCCGTCTCGGCGTCCCCGTGAGAGAGAGCAGGAAAATTTAAATAAATATTTCATGGTTCTGCGCTTCACATGCCATGCTCTATTGTAGTTCTCTAAAAAATTGAATGCAGTGCCTCCATGCGAACCATGCGGAAACAACGGCGTTTACACGCATACTACACACCTAATGCATTTTTCCCCCCCTAATCACACCGGTTTTGCGTCGCTCTGCCCTTTCGAATCTCCGATTTGGAGTCAGCTTTGCCTTAAGTCGCTACCTCATATTGCCCATTCACAGTTGAGAGGGCAAAGGGAGAGGAGAGAAATGAGCTCCTGGAATCCTTTTTTTTTGTTCAAGATCCCACCTCTGTTCAAAGGAGGATGCAGCGATGCGGATGAAAATCTCTTCAATTCTCATGATGAATGCTTTCCGAAAAGGGAACCAAGTCATACAGTATAATATCTCTCTTCTCCTTCGATTGCCCCTCCCATCTCTCTCTCTCTCTCTCTCTCTCTCTCCCCCTTTCCCCGTGAAAGTTCCCCCTCGGAAGTCTCTCGGTCGGATCGTTCCCCGGGCGGATTCTCCATTACGCCCCCCCCCCCTTTCCCCCTCCCCCCCTTTTCTCGCCGCGCCAAATTACAAGAATACGCGCTTTTTTGTTGGTCCTTCTCGATGGGAGGGGGAGGGAATGTCCTCGACGATGGAATATGGCCAGCTCGTAAATGGGGCCATAAGGGGAGATCGATTGCAGATGTGGAGAGTATCATCCATCTCCTCTGCATCCTTGTCGCTGCAGGTCATTCTTCACCGCCGCGGCATCCTCGTCTGGATCCCCGCTGATGATGCATCGCCGAGGAAGCGGGGGGCAGGGGAAGCGGGAGGAAGCGGAGAGGAGGAGGAGGAAGCGGAAAGGAGGAGGAGGGAGTGTGTCCGAGCCCCGCCGAAGACTTCTTGCAGCACGAGACGCTTTCGGTTCCATTGCCGTATACGAGTGGTTGGGGGCTTCGCAGGAATACCTGCGTATACCTTAGGTGATTCTACAGCATGAGTCAAATGTCTGGAATCGATCATATATTTGATTATTATAATAGTTATTTGCTTATCCTTAGAATTGTGATTTATTTCTGTTGGCAGTGATATGGAACCGACAAAGGACGAGTGGTTACGCCGTTTGGAACCGTGAATCATAAGGAATGGCGGCCACATAGAGCACCTTCAACATTCCCCAGATATTTGACTCATACTGTAGAATCTTGCTGTCCATCATCTTGTGACTCTTCCGTGCCTGCTATGCATGCAACGTCTCCGGCCCGATTTCCGCTCGACCGTGAAATCAGATCGACTTCGCACCCCCTACAAACTTTTACCTCGTAAGCCTCGCCGTGTCGACCCGGGAAAAGTACGAACCGGGCACTCACGGAATAAAAGAGGCAATCGGCACGAGTACCGGCCCGGGGAATCTCTGCGAGCAACCCAGAACATCGACCGACCGTTTCCACGTCGCTGCAGCTCGATCACGAGAGACCCCCAGAGACCCCGGATTTTCTTCGGCGACTGCCGGAGAAAAAAGCCGAACGAGAAGAGGAAACGGACTGCGGAGTCCCTATCAGCTCGGTCCGACACCTCTCGGTCCGCTTTCTTCTCTTTCAATTTCCCTCAACATCGAGAAGATTGCCTTAGGAAACTCTTCTTTTTTCTATAATGCAATCAAGTTCCTTCGGAAAAGACGTGGGTT